TACATTATATGTATTTTTAATAGTAAAATTCAAAACAAGAGTTTTAGAAATATCAAGATAGGAACAAGTGTCAAGATTCTAGTAAAAAGCAATCTGGATTCCAGAAATGTACAGAAATTGAGACAATGTTCTTTCTAATAAAATAATATTCTAATAAAAAACATTGGTTCTCAATTACTTTCTTCACAAAGAAAAAGAAAAGTTCAGAATGTCAAAGTATGTACAAACAGAATATGTTTAATCTGATAGTATTTGAAACCTAAGACCAGTGTTTGCATAATTATTATACACATGGCTTGACCATGTATTTTCATCAATTCACTATCATATTCAGCATACAAATTAGTTACAGAATTAAGTAACAGAAAGATTGCTTGAGAGATCACTATTAGATACAACTATGCTTTACTTCACAGAATGATTTTGCAGTTTCAATTCAGAAAAGCCCTAATTCAACCCAATATATAAAACACAAAAGTATCCTCTGCTCAAGAGTCTTGTTAAATAGATAGGAATCAGTGTCCCTTCCAATTTTATTTAAAATAAATTTTTACAAACCACTATATAACTTTCAGCAAAAGTACAAAGCCATCATATACGTAAGTTAAAAAAAAAAAAATCAGGTCACAAAAACACTGAGTAAAAAAAAAATTGTATTATAAAAAACAGAAGCCATCTTATCCACTCATGTAACACTGAACTTCTCCTACAAATCTTTTTTACTTCTTCAGTTTATATCACTGGACAATGCTGTAGAAATCCTTCCAGCTATTAGAATAATATTACTTTTACTTCTTAGTTTGAGAACTAATATTTAGAAAGGAAATGGAAAATTCATAACATTCATTTCATACCTACAAGAGTTTTGCTAACACCACTTGGCTGTGGTAAGCGTGACAATGATGATGGTGTTGATCCTACAGAAGGCATCTTCTTAACTGCAGCAGGTTTGTTCTGTAACAAAATACAACCTAGAAATTTAAGCAATTAAATCAAACTATCTATATAACATGATAGGTGGTCATCTCAGGTACTCTTGGAAAATGGACTCTGATTACCTGCTAGGTAAACTGTTTCTGGTATGGGATCATGCAAATGGTTTCTGCTAGTCTGCTTTCTTATACATACAGATGATACTAGTAGGAAAGATATCAAACTTTACTCAGTGGTTTTGATTTTTTGTTTAACTGTCTTTGTGTATTTTCCACTTTTCTACAGCTTTTTCTGATCTTTTTTTCATAGCTATCTCATGAGATTAACATTATCACCTCGTTACCAATTAATTTTAAAAAGAATACTCAAGGGCAGGATCATTTCTGTCTTACTTTCACCTGGGTGCTCTGGACCAGACCCAAAGCTAATCCAGAATGCAGTGCAAGAATCACTAAGTAACTGCTTGCATCTGTTTAACTCTTCACTGCTTCCAGAAAAAAAAAAGAGCACTACCCACGAAACAAAAACGCAGATACACTTTAATACTTCATTTGTTGCCATGTTGTAGCTCTTACCTTAATACATCTGAATTCCTCTAAGCCTCTAATTAACCAAAAAATTGCTGTCAGTTGTCCTATAGTCATGTACCTTTGTTTGTCCACTTAAGGAACAGTCTTGTATTGGATTCAGAAGACTTGCATACCAGAAATTCAACTTTCTTTACAAACACTGCATCTCTACTTCCCGCTGCTATCATTACCTGTCATTTTCACAAATCTCTGAATTACATTTATGATTGTTTTTGCCTTTGCAAGGGCTGACATCTGATTTTTGGAACTCTGCAACCCTCCTAAGAAAGCAAAAACCTCCTCCATGCTTAGTGTCTAATTTCAGTCTAGCACAAATAATAAAATTAACATAATAAAATAGGTAATTCAATTTAAGAGCAACAGACTATTTAACAAGCTTGATTTGATGTCGAATGCAAGTTACAAGTTAAGAAAAATGTTGTAGTTCACCTGTGTTCGAGGAGGAAGCTTGCCTTTGGTATCAGCTGCCATTTTCCCCTTATTAGTAATACGTGCTGCTTGTTCCTTACAGAAATTGATGTGTCTGTCAGCTGCATTTTCATTAAATCTCCTCTGACAATATGGACACTGAATGTAATCTTAAAAACATAGAAACCTAACATTAATAACATGTTTTAAAAAATAAGGTGTTTCAAAGTCTTTTGAAGACCAGCCCCACCCCCACAGAAAATTAAGGCCTCTTGAATCTGAAGATGAAATCCAGATTGCTGCAGAAAAGAGTATTGTCCACATATAACACAGAAGATATTTCTTGTTTGATGGATAAGAATGAGAAGAGTGGTTGAGGATCAGAAATAGCCAAAGCAAAATCAGAAACACTTTGAGAGATGCTATTAAGCAGAGAAGGTGGACAAAGACATATATGGACATGGCAAGGATATCAGCTGGAAGGGGAGAAGAGGCTAAACAAAAAAATTACAAACACAGTTCAGTGTGTTCAAGATATGAAAATGTGTTAAAACTTTTCCCATACAAATAGCAAAAGACAACAAAATCTGTTTCTTCTGGCTATTTCAAAAGAACTGAGGAATACTAACTGCAATACTGGAAATAATTTAAAAAAGAAAAATCATAAATTTAACAACAACAACAAAAAAGAATCAAGAGGAAACCCAGACAAAAGTAGGAGATCTCTATAGAGACATGCAAAACAGGGTAACTGGTGGCTGTATTATTTTTCAAGATTAATTTAGTCACATTACGAACAGTACTACTTGCAAGAAATACTATTACCAAGATTGGGGAAAAAAAATGTTTCAAATACTACAAGATCCCTTATCTGTATGCTGGAAACATAGCCCTTAAAATACACTGTCTTTGGAAAGTGTTTGGTCTGCAGTTTCAGACAGACATCTTAGTGTCCAGAGGTACAGATGCTGAATTCCCCAGATTACAGCATTCAAAAACATGTAAACATCAACTTCAGAAGCGCTAGACATCGGCAAGGCAGGTTAAATTAGTATGTTCCTAGGTGATTTTAGAAACATATCGAAGAAAACGAGGGGAGATTCAACAGTCACTTCCTCCAAGATTACAGTTAGATATTATACAATCCAAAATAAGATTTGGATTACATGTTACTACTCCAAATGTAGCAGATCTGGCTTAAGTAGTTAACCCTTAAAATTAACAATTTTGAGTAAGTCAAATGATGTAGTGGACACCAAACCATGAACTGTGACCCAAGAAGTGTGAGCAAAGGACACAGGAAGAACACAGGAATCCTTCAGAGAAGTGACAGCATGGGAATCTCATGTGATAACAACAATGGCTTTTTATTTATTTATTTTACATAAACTCCACTACTGTCAGAATACTCAAACATAAACTATAAGAGATAGAAACTCAGAAGAACTATAGTATATATATGGTCAAACCAAGATAGGCTCAAACAAAGATTAAAAATAAAAAAGATTAAAAAAGCAAAACAGATTAATAAAGTAGCTACAGAAGCCCCTAGATAATAAGAAAATACATTCTTAGCTGGTACACAGCACAGTTCCTACAGGAGACTTTCAAAGATCACTGAAGTAAATGGATCAGACTATGGAGGATTTTTAAGAATCAGGGACTGTATCTTCATCCTTTTGCAAAATGCTTAGCACCAGTCAGCCAGCTGTCTATGTGGAAGTACTATTTGTACAGTCCAGAACCATTAGGATTCAATGTCAACTTTATCAAATCCAAACTAATCAAAATAAGCGGACAGTACACATATGTAGTCAAGTTCAATGCAAATAGGGTGACTTATGTCCTTCCTAATACCATGAGGCAATTCTAAGGAAAAGGTTGCACAGGAGGATCGAAGAACCAGCAATACTGCTTGTTTGCAAACCTCAAAGCACGCAATTAAGTAGGAAATATTATTACAGAAGTCTTTTAAAGGAAAAAGACTAGCAGCTAGTTAGAAATAGGTATGCCAAAGACAGAGCTGAGTAGGAGAGGATGGATATACTCCATGATAACATGGAGTTCTCGCTCTCTCCCACATGTAAAGTGGAAAAGGAGCAATGGTAGCTGCCCCTGCTCTACTTTTGTTCTATTTGTAGGAGGAGAATCCACTGATCAATTCATGCATCTTCTCTTCATTCCTGGTTCCCTCCTCCTAAGTCTTACCCCCTCAAGCAGGATGAAGCCAGGAAACTGCAAACAGTAAGACTCAGCTTGAATGGAAGGAAGAGAAACAGACACACAATATCTTTCTCTTTACCTCCTATCTGCCTTCAAGCAAGCTAACACTACTTTCTTCGCTTCAAACTTATTTGTGGTCTCTGGAATGAAGGGAGCACCATTTCAATAGCCTTCCAAACTAGATTTGGTTCTGGGCTCTTCTGCTTGTAACTGAAAACCTATAAAACTAGATTATTAATGATCCTTTCCATGATTGAGCCTTGTATTTCTTACTCACAGCATTAGCTACTGGTTTTACTTTAAAATGCATATGGCATTTCAAGATAAGAGTGCACTGAATGCTGAATGATATGAGTTCATTTCTTACTATGAATGCACAATTACAACCCCAGTACTGGACTAGCATGTTGCCTGTAGAGAAACAAGGTAGGGAACACTCACATCCTCACTTGACCACAGACAGGCAGAAGCAAACAGATGATTTTTTCTGTATTTCCCAATCTTTCTCAAAATAGCCTCCAACCTATTATCACATCACAAAAGTTAACTGAAAAGTGTATTTCCTTCTCACTCACATCAGACTGCTTCAACACTATACCCAGCCTGAGTTCTGAAGGCACCCAAGGACTGCTACTCCCCTGTTAATACAAATCTCACACATCTCACATACCCAAAAAGCAAGTAACCCCACCACAGGAGGAAAGATCACATGCACACTAGAGCATAGACTGCATACATGAAACTAAATATGAATTCAATAAGAAATGAAAGAGACTACATTTAAAGAACACAGTCAACGTGCATTCCTGAAATGTAAATAGGTTGTGGGTGTCCAGCATTGGCAGCTAATTAAAAAGGTAGTCTGCTCATTCTGAGCAGGTCCAGTGCTGTGGACAGAAACACAGTGTTGAAACAATTTGTCCAGCCTATGGCTTGTAAGATGGTAGGAAGCTGCAAGTTGGCGACAACTACCTTTTGATGTATTAAAACCGAAGTCATGGGCAATGAAGGCTACACAGGATGCTAGTCAGCCAGACTCAGACACAAACCAGCATTTGCATAGGGATAATAACATAGTCATCATCAAGAACTTGTGAATATCGTATTCAAACAAATTCATTTCCAATTCAATTTTTTACAAATTAAGTTTGGAAAAAAAAAATCTATACAGAAGTAGATCATTTTACATACCAGGGTCATATGATGGAGGTGGTGGTGGAGGGAGTTTTCCACCATCTTTAAGATTAAGTCCTTTGGCTGCTCGTATAGTTGCTATAAACTCCTCATGCTTTCGTCTCCAGTTGGAAGGTTTTTTGGGTGGTTCTGGCTAACAAGCCAAAAAAGAAAGAGCTTTATATGTTTGAAGCTCTTACTTCAAGCTAAGTATGTGCTTTATTTTAGTACATAATATTATAGTTAGATTTCTTCCAGATCCTAGTTGATTTAATTATCACAAATTGACTGCAGAACTAAGCCATATTATAATGCATACATAGTTTGCCTAAAATGTTCATATGCAGAGTAAATTGTAACATACCCGTGGCTTAAGAGGTTTTACTGTGGGAATATCAGTTCCTTCTGCTCTCTGTCGGCTGGAATCAAATGTCTTCCTTTTCTTGGCAGAAGTTTTTTGGCAAATGGGTCCATGCTTTTTCTACAAGCACAAGAAAAACAAACAGCGAATACAGAACTTAGTTTTGAAAATGTAAGTTATTAACATGTTATTTCCATCTTTCTTGATATGCCAATTGGCAAACAAGGCCCAACTCTTGATGAAAAAGATCAAGACTGCTTTCACTTGAATATTGATGCCAGCCATTACTTTTAGAATGGAACTACAGGAATTCACAAAAATATATACATGGTCATAAAAACTTGGATGATGAGGAAGAAAAATAGGAGGCATCTGTATTTTCTCCTTGTGAATAAAAATTTGATGGTAGGTAGGCAGTATTTGCATTGAGTGGCAAGACAAAACAGAAGTGTCTGAAATCCACTTCATGTTTAAGGACAGACCAATCTCTATTAAGACTGGAGAACACAGTATTTTGAAGATAGCTAACAAAACACTTCATTTACTAGCTGAGACTGCATGAGGTACTAGCTTCCATCTGCTGAGGTAAGGAACGATTCTGTGACCCTACAGAAGATGCTTTTAAAAGCATGTATTTTCAGAAAGTGATGGGATACTGAAATAAAATTAACCTCCTTCTAAGGAGCTTCAAAACTGACACAACCGGAATCAATAATTATTTGCGAAAAAACCATGAAAAATTCCACCAAAAACCAAGCATCAAGATCTACTTTATTTAGTTATAGTGACCATTGCTTAACTCTCATATTAACTTATCAAATCTAAAAGCCAACAGTATTCACACCACTTACCAGTGCTGCTGGAAAGAAAGTCCTTCCACAAATCCTACATGGCAACAGATCTCCAGTTTGCACTGGAACCTCACCTTCAAAAAAAAAAAAGAAAAAACCAAAACATACCTCTATAAGAAAATGTATGATAAATATTTCTTCCTATATTGCTAAATTAATATACTTAGTAATAACAGTTGTTCTTGTAAAAGTATACATTCTTTGAACTGTGCAGAGACTATGTAGATCAGAAAGGAAAATATGATACACAAATGCTTCATACTTTTGGAAGCAGCCAGGCCCAGTAACATCAGCATCAGTTCTGACAATTTACAATATGAAACTCTGTACCTTTAAAGGGATGCCTGTATGTCAGCATGGAAATGACAGATTCACCATAAGTCAAGATGACAGCCTAAACGCACACCAGGAATAACAATATTTAGTGGGTATTTCTGCATCTTAGGAAGAGAATCATCTGTTATAGCATCAAATATAACTCACATCCCATCACTTACTTTCACCTACTAAGTTAAACTATTCTACTTCCTCTTGTAAAGAAAAAAATGTTACTGCTATTTTTACTATATATTTTATTCAGATTATATACTGACAGCTTACAAAAGCATTTCTGATGCTGCTATTCAAGCATTGGTAACAAAAGTGTAAATGGTATACTTGACACACAACAGATTCACAGAACCAAATAAAAGACCAACAAATCCAAGTATCCAAGCAAATATATTCATACAGTAGGTATCATGCAGTGGAGTCACAGCAGAGACAAAAAACTCCACAGGGTTTCCCAATAACAGGCATCTATTATATTTAGTACTGTACCAGAGCTGCAGGGATATTTTGATATCACATATACATCAATAAAGAGGCAGTAAGTTTGGATTGAGACTTACTAGTTCCTTTCTCTGTACTCAAGTCTGACTATTGCAGACAATATAGCTCCCTCTATTTATACTAAGTTAAAAACACTTTGAATTGACTTGTATTTTAGGCAAACTAGTGGCTTAAACCAATTAAGTTATGCACAGAGAAGTGTTCAATGATTTGATCAGTTTTTGTTCCCAATTCTCCAGTGGAAAACAATTTTCCATCTAAACATACGTACTTGTCAATTAACTGTAGGACATGTAAAAATGTAGGAAATGCAAAAAATGTAAAAAACTGTAGGAAATGTAAAAATTAAAATTGAGTGAGACTTCTAGTACCAATGTGTAACTATTAGGTTTATTTCTGCCTTTTTCAATTACTTGAATTAAATTCATCATCAGTATGTAACTATGTATAATACATTAATTGTATTAATATACCACACAGCACAATCCATTTTAAGAATCACAAATCATATGAAAAGTGTTCTGCAGCTTAAAACATTTATGTTCATACCTTTAATTTATATACCTGTTCCATGTAGTCATGAATAGGCCCTTTTTGTGTCTTTAAGAAATTAGTTGAAATAAATCAGAACCAGTGATCTTTAAATCAGGTGTATAGTATAAGATAAAGGATTTGACTGAGAAGAGAACTCTTTCAAATATCTGCCTTAGTAAAAGAAGAAAAGTTACATTTTCCACCATCATCTTCTGTTCACTGAACTCTGGAATTTAAGCTCGTGTTTAAATTCACCATCAAAAGAAGCAGACTCGATAGATGCTCACCTGATCGAGCAGTATTTGCATACAACATACCAATGCCTAACGAATGCCAACTAGCACTTGCTGCAGCTACAGTTACAGAGCTGGATTCCCTTACAGCATTCCTAACCTTCCTTTGCTGCTTGGCAGGTAGTCAACCACATTTGCCAAGAGCTACTTCTACTGCCAACACCTCCTCCCCCCAATACAAATCACTGACCCAAAACACAAAAGGAAGTTATTTTAAAAAAATTAAAGTTCCTTAAGTTTTGTTGAAAATGGGAAGCCTATGGTCCTTTATATTTGCACACTTATCCCTCCAATTTCTTAATCATTCCTCTGTGAATTTCCTCTCCTTTAAAGTACTCCCCCCCCTACCGCCCCCCCAAAAAAACCCACCACAAAGCCCTCCAAAAAAATATCGCAAACAAAACATACTAATGTTCCTCTCTAGGAGCCCATGAGCCTTCCTTTACAGAAGGGTTACCAAAGTCACCAACATTAAATCGATAATTTTAAAATAAAACATGGGAATAAAATTGTGAAAGTTGGAAAACAGCTGTTTTCCTTTTTTTTTTAAAAAAAAAAAAGGCATCAATGCATGATATCTAATGTTGTCAGTACACTTGTGCAGAAGTTATATAAATAACAAGTGACATAAATGCACAACATAATAGAGGAGAAATTCTTACACACTTTCAGTACTAAAGTAAAAAGTTAGTATTTCTAACACCAGCAATAAACAAGATAATGTTCTTCAATGAAATTACTGAATTATTTTGGCCATAGTTTTCCAGCATGACTACAAAAAGTAATAAAAATGGAAAAAAAATCTTATACTGAGTTATTTTAGTCTGATAAAATTAACAAAGAACAAGCAAAAGCAAAATCTCAGTTAAAAACGTTGGGATTTCTTAAAGAAAAAGGCATGGACTGACTGAATCTTTCCTGAACAGAAGTTGACAGAAAAGCGTTATTAAATTGGGATTTGGTTGTTAAATCGGGGTGGGGGAAGGGCATGAGAGAGTGTAAAAAACCAGGGAACACTCAAATGACAAACTGGCAAATGAGTCCGAGAACAGAAAATGGTAGTACGATGGCATCATCGCAGTTTTCTTCAGTGTTCATTAAGTCCAGCAACAACGCAGGGATTGCCCTTGTTTTGGTTATACAACCACAGAAGACCCAAGATCCAGCAGCAATGCTTATTTTTCCTTTTACCATCTTTTAATACCACTAATCATCAGCAGTTTACATGCCTGTATTAAACATGAATTAATATGGTTAACTTAGAAAAGGATAGACATAATTACTACCGTTTATCTAATCTAAACACACTTAAGGAAAAGAGAAATGTGTTCAAAATGGTTATGTGAATACCAAAGAAAGGAGTATTTCAGTTGAAGTGATGCCAAAACTATGATATGCAGCTTTACACCCTATTCTACCGTCTGCCTGAGACCAGGTCTCAATTAAAAACATAGAGTTCAACCTAGTAAGATGCTAGGTATCTGAATTAAACAACTACATTGGGAGTTTTATTAGCAGCACTACAATAATCTCATCACTTTGTGTTTCTGAACTGCTCCTGTCAGAGCTTTTTCTCCTCCAGCTACTTCCAGAGTACAATCATCTTCTGAATTATTTTTTTCTACCTGCACAGGGATAAGTTATTCAAAAGGAATGTGTGCAATATGGTCACAGTCCAGTTACCCACGCTTTCTGTTCTTTGAGTTTAGCTGTGAAGTTTGGGTGGATCTCAAAGTCTGACAGCATAGCTATACAGTCACTCTCTCAGATGTAGCACAGTGCTACTATTACAGATTTTATATTATAGAGTTTAGATTGCCTTGAAACCTAGATTTCCAGGGAACAACCCTTTTTTCTTCTTCTTCTTTTTCTCTCCTCTCATCTTCAAATACAGTAACCTATCTACAGCCAGAAAATGCAACCTGTCAGTCCTCAGATTTATCTTTCTCAGTACAGCCTGTGGACCCATCAATACATACAAGTTAAATCTGACACAGCCAGAGGCTCTTGCTGCCATGTTTACAAATTTAGCAGTTGTGTAAATAGACCCCACACCTAGAGGGAGGAGAAGTCTTCAGTATTGCTGAACAGCTATTAATTGAAGTTTTATAGCTGAACAGCCTTTTATATTGCTGAACAGCTATTAACTGAAGTTTTATTTTCTCTTTTGGGAAGCTTTGTTCACCCAAGTATGTATCTGCACTTACACATAAAGTATAGAATGCTCCAAAGAAACAAGATCGCACTTGGTGCCAGTAACAGTATTTTGTCATATTGTAAAATCTGTTCGGTTGCCCTTCAAAACCTGTTCTTTATCTGCAGCACTGGCAGTACTAAATGACTTGGGCCAGACTACTACGATAATCATTAAGCCTCGCTGAATTAAAACTTGCAGAAACACTCTGATATGATTTACAGCCTTGAGACTAGCCACCTACTTGAAATCAACAAGCAATCTACAACTACTGAAAGTTACTACATGAAGAGTGCTTGACAAATTCTTCTCCTGCAAAACGGTATTTATTACCTTCAGCATAACTCCCTTCTCCATAAACTTCAGGTTAAGAGTTCCATAAACTCCAGGTACAAAAAAAATGCAGTGCATTCCCCACATTAACCGGCATCTATATCATCAAGCCACAGCATCTAGTTCTTTGGGGACTGTCAGTTTCCAACATATGTCCACTAATCAGTACTGACTGGGTTATATTTTTTAATCAATATGTCAACTAACAACAATCTGAAAAGACTAATAACAAATACCATAAACAAGAGTCACCTAAAAATGATACTGATGCAGTGACATAGGTAGGGAACACTTCTTTGAAGAGACAAATACAGTTTAGAGCATTGATTTTTAAAGAACAATTTTAAAGAATATAAAATAATGAAAAGATGAACGTAAGAAAGTAGAAAAAACACCAACTGAAAAAACAGGGTGAATATTTTGCAAGTTTTTATTATTTTGCCAAAATGAATTCTGAAATGCAAATGAAAGCCAGACAAATACATCATACCGCTTAACCACAGGTAGTACTTGCCATACTTCGCTAAAGTTTGCTTGATAAACTGGTGGCATGCATGATTTACTCCATCAAGCAAATCCCTTCTCACTTATGCCATTCAGCAGTTTGCAGTAAGAGTTAGAGAAAGAAAATCAGAGAAACCTCCTTCTCTTAGTATTCAACTCTTCACATACTTTGAATTTTTTATGAAACTAGGTTATTCGCAATGGTATAACAAATAGCAAACCAATCTAATTTCATCTATCTACTCTTAATTTTAGAGGAAAACCTCATGAATTCTTTTCTGCTTTTATACTGACAATGCAGTCTAATGCTGTATAAATAAACCTGTCACTTCTGCTTCAAAAAGATAACAAAAAGCAGCATAACTTCCATTCTTTCAAGCTCAAA